GTTAACATGCTCAGCTGCTAACCAAAAGGTTGGAGGTTTCAGTCCACCCAGACATGCCTTGGAAGAAAAGCCTAGCGATCCACATCTAAAAAATCAGCCACTGAAAACCCTATGGAGCACAGTTCTACTCTGACATTCATGGGGTCACCAGAGTCGACATGACAGCAATTTATTTTTCCCTAACATAGAATGAGGAATCCCTGGGTGGTGCAAATTGCTAATGCACTCAGCTCCTAACCAAAAGGTTGGAGGTTCAAGTCCATCCAGAAGCACCTTGCAAGAAAGGCCTGGTGATCTCCTGAAAAATCAGCTGTTGAAAACCCTGTGGAGCACAGTTGTACTCTGACACACATGGGTCACCCTGGCTGACTCCTAGGAGGCCTAGGGGGACTGATCCCCTACCCCATCTCACAATATCCAGGGGACCCCAGGGACTCTGAGGATGGGGCTTTGGCCAGCCTTGGGCAAAGGCTGCAGAGATAGACCTGGGCCTCTTCTCTGCCCTCCTGCTTGGCCACTGACTTTCAGGTGACCTTGGGCAAAGGACATGACTTCTGTGAGCCTGGTACCTTCTCATTTGGAAACCGGCTGTGTAAGCAGCTCGCCCAGGGATGTTCTGAGGGTTACAGGAGGTGACTTGTCCAAGGAGCCCTTGTTTGGGAAGCGGGACTTTCCTGGAGGTCCCTGTGCTGCCAGCTGTCTGTGTCCCTGGGGGTGGAACATGTCCACTCCCCTCCCCAGTCCAAGCAGCCCGGGGGCGGGAGTAAGGACAATGAGTATCCTGTCTGTGGGATATGTAAGTAGTATGGAACAGAGTTTTTAACTGTCATGGAATCCAGACCTCTGGATTCCATGGAGGTTGAAATGACCCATCCGTACTAACACCCTGAGATAATCTTCGAACCTTAAACCTTGAGAAAACTGGTTTCCTGAAAGTCATCTTTAAGTCAAAGGATAATTTAGGTTAATTAGTAAAGAACGTTTGCCTTGGGCAATGGGCTCTTCTAAAGAACTATGTGCAATCAGTTTCCACAAACAGCAATTCCAAAGGTCAGTCTAGGAGCTATGTTTTAGGGTAAATCACTAATTATCTGAATTGTTCTTCAAGAAAATGTTGCCTGACCACAAGTGATTATGTAAATACTATTCTGGCCCTGTTTCCATGGCAACGCATAAATTACTAGCAGTAAGTGGGAGTATAAGAATTTGTAAAAGATTTTTCAACTTTGGAACATTTTTGACTCTCTAGTCAGAAATGTTGCCTCAATTTGCGAATTGTATGTTAAATAAACTTCAATCAATTCCTATCATTGGCTTAATATTATTTTTAACAGTAAAGTCGCGCCTCACTCAGGGCATCACAGGATGGAGAGACAGCGCTGGGACAGGGACACATCTCTCAGGTGGCGAATTTGGCTCCATTCAAGTTTTATTAGTCCCCTTTCAGCCTGGGGCTTCCCACAGGACGTCCTGGGCATCCTGCTGCTGGCCCCGACTGTGTCCAGTTTCCCAGAGGGAGGATGGGAAGGCAGAGGACAGGGGAAGGGGCTGGAGACAGATCATCAGGTCTCCCTGGAAGTGGGGCCCTCCCTGTCTCCACAGAGCTGGCCCGAGGGCCGCCAGTCCAGCACTCCACACAAATCCAAGCCCCTGGGCACTGGGGCAGCCCTGCACAGCCAGCTCTCGCTGCCTACATGGCTGCTGTGTGCCCGTTGGCCAGCCGCCTGGCCACCCGGCTCCGGGGGCCGCCGGTGGGGGCTGACCCGTTCCTCAGCTGTGGACGCTGCTGGGTGGCCTCTTCCTCACTCAAGTCCGACTCCTCCACATCGCTGCGAATGTCCTTCTCCATCTGGCGCACAGAGAGAGAAGACACAGTAAAGCTCAACGGGGAGGGGATGAGGCTGGGAGCTCCAGGGACCTAGCTGTACCTGGCCCTTGATCATGAAATTGCAGAGCATGCGCAGGATGAGGCATGACCAGAACACGTGCAGCAGCTGCAGCATCATCAGGAGGGCGTTGAAGAAGTAGTAGCCGAAGAAGGTACCCCGCCCGATGATGGACTCGTAGTACGTGGTGTAGAGGATCCTTTGGCCAGAGGGAGGGAGGGGGGCGTCACTAGCTGCTACAGCCCTGCAGTCTCCCACCTTAGCTCCAGACCTCCAAACCTAGCTCCAATCCAGGAACCTCCAACATGCATAGCTTTCCCTGCTCCAGAACCATCTGTGGCTACTTACTGCCCCAAGGATGATACCTCTGCACTTCAGCCAAAAAACCCAAACCTTTTGCTGTCGAGGAGCCCTGGTGGTGCAGTGGTTAAGAGCTCAGCTGCTAACCAAAAGGTTGGCAGTTCGAATCCACCAGCTGCTCCTTGGAAACTCTATGGAGCAGTTCTACTCTGTACTACAGGGTCGCGATGAGTCGGAATCGACTCGACAGCAATGGGCTTTTGATGGGTTCGATTGCTGTTAAGTCAATTCTGACTCATGGTGACCCACATGTTACAGAATAGAATTGCTCTATGCGGTTTTCTTGGCTGTGATCTTTATGAATGCAGATTGCCAGGCCTTTCTTCCATGGAGCCACTGGGTGGGTTCAAACGGCCAAACTTCAGGTTAGGAGATGAGCACAAGCTGTTTGCACCACCTAGAGAGCTTGTGCTTTAGCCACGCCTGGTTTGCCAACTCAGCAAAATGCTCAAGCTCTTTGACTCATGGCTGTTCGTAACCATAACCATGAGCCCTGAGGAGTGTGGAGGATCTTGGTTCCTCTCCAGCACACCCACTGCCCCATCCACCCCCCACTCTACCTTCTCTCCTGTTGCCCCAGACAAACTGTCCTAAATCCCAGCTACAGCTCCCCTCTCCTCACAAAGACTTTACCACAGCCCCTGCTTCCTCACGCCCCTTCCTGAGGAGTGTCCCCATCCACACCAACCCTGATGTTACTTCACACACAAGAAGCAAAACCAACCCCAAAGAGCTCCTTCTAGACCTCACCTTTCCCCTCTGGCTACCCCCTCATCTCTCTCCTCTTGAAACTCCTCAAAAGGACCAATGGTACCTGCTGTCTCCACGTCATCCCCAGATCGACCACTGGGATCACCAGTGACCTCTGTGTAGCTCACTGCAGAGTCCGGCCTCTGCTCCTACCCTGTGCCCACTCCCCTTGGCCTGCCTGACCCCCAGGTGCCCCCTGCCTGTCCCCCTCCCTGAGGTCCCTGGGACCTAGGGCCTCCTCAAGCCCCCCTCCCCATTCCTGCTCGCCCCTTCCATGGCCACGCTGCTGAGCTAACATGCATGGATTTGTCCTTCTACAAGATTCTTGCTTGGCCCCACTTCCTCTCCAGACACCACCCCCATTCACGCCTTTCCTTGACCCCCAAGGCCCTCCAATGTGTGGTTTATGTTCACCATCTTTACCCCTTCCTCTTGCTCCTCTAGCTGGTTCCTGCCCCACCTTTTGGGGATGCCACCCTAGGGCCTGGTCCCCTCCCTTCCCCCGACACTATTCTCCCGTCCCTTCCCCTTGTACCCTCCCTCTCAGGCCTCGGTGCAGGCTCCTTGATGACTGCACACTCAGGGGGCCCCAGTCCCAGGACAGGCCTCTCTGGCCACGCCTGGTCCCCCGGGGACCCTGGACTGTGTGCCCACAGCTCCTGCATTTACATCACTCTTCCGAACCCCAGCCTGGTACAGCCCAGCCTCCTCCACGTCTCATTGTGGGGCCAACTCCAACACGGCTAAAGCTGAGCTCCCGGTCCTCCTGTGCTCGTTCCTACCTCAGCTAATGGCAGCTCCATTTCCCCAAACCCTGGCATCTTGCCCTGAATCTGCCCACTTCTCTTGTCTGCATTGGTCCAGCCCCATCAGCACCATCCGGACCAGCGCCTCACAGTCTCTCCCTTCCCTGGCCACCAGAGGGCAGTGGTGAGCACCTGAGTCAGGGCCCTCCCTCCTCTGCTCACAGCCCTCCAGGGCTCCCACCTCCCCTGGGTAAAAGCCCAAGTCCTCCCCTCGGCCCACAGAGCCCTGCACAACCTGCTCCATCCCCTCCCCTCTGCCCCTCGCTCACTCCACTCCAGCCACTCGGGCTTTCTTGCTGTTCCTCCAACATGCCAGGCACAGTCCTGCCTCAGGGCCTTTGGACAGGCTGTTCTCTCTGCCTGGAACACCGCTCTCCTATGATCAGCAGAGTTCTCTCCCTCACCTCTCTCAGGTGTCTCTGTACAAACGCTATCACTGAAGCCTTCCCTGACCCCCTGTGCCCTTCCCTGCTTTGGTTCTCTCTTTAGCACTCAATACCCCTGACACTCAATAGTATGCTTGTTTGCCTTATTTATCATCGTCCACCCCACCTAACATCAGCTCCACGAGAGCAAGGGCCCACCTGGTGTTCCCTCTGCTGTGTCCCCCCACCTGGCACATTCAAGAGGCTCAACACATTGCGTGGGTGGAGACATCAGTGAGCCTCGCCCCATCCCTCCTTCCACTCCAGTTCCAGGCACACTCATTGCTGGTGACTGAGCCCAGTTCTCTGTCTCTATTGCCTCTGGACCTTTGCACACACTGTGGCCTGTGCCGTCAAAACACTTCCCGCCTCTTCCTGGAAGCCTCCCGCTCCCGGGCAGAGGGGGAGGCAGGCAAGCGTGGGATCTCGGACACGCCCTCCCTCCTTCCCCCCGCCCTGCGGAAGGACGGACTCACTGCGTGGGGAAGAGCGCAAGGCGTGTGTAGAAGAAGACGCAGGAGAAGACCAGGAAGAGTAGGTCGCACGGGATTCGCCAGCGCATATAGTTGAAAATCTTACAGGCCTGGGGAGGGCGCCGGAGAACAGGCTCAGGCCAGGGCAACGCAGGGACAGGCGGGCTGGGTGAGGGCGGGGCTTCGTCTCAGGAAAAAGGCTATAATAGGCGGGGCCAGGTGAGTGAGGGGAGCTCATTTCATGGGAAAAGGTGATGAGGGGTGGGGTCAAATGGGGGGGGGGCTTGTCTTCAGGACCTGGCCAGAAAGGTAAGGGGAGAGAGGGAGGGACAGGAAAGATGGAGGGGGGAGGTGGAGTGCATGAAGAATCACCTCCCAGGAAAGCTGAGAGGGGTGGGGCCTTACCTCCCAGGTCAACTGAGATTGTGGTCTAGTGGTTAAGAGCTATGGCTGCTAACCATAAGGTCGGCAGTTCGAATCCACCAGGTGCTCCTTGGAAACCCTATAGGGCAGTTCTACTCCGTCCTTTAGGGTCCCATGGATTGGAATCCACTCAACCACTCAACGGACGGCAAAGGGTTTCGCCTCCCAGGAAAGCAAGATGGGGCGGGGCCTCACCTCCCAGGAAGGCGGAGAGGGGGCGGGGTGTTGCCTGCAGGGACAGGTGGGAGAACAGGGGAGGGGCGAGGGCAGGGAGCAGGCAGGCTGTGGCCCACCTCCAGCAGGACGTCGGAGGTGTCGTGCAGCAGCAGCACGAGAGAGCCGATGCGCAACAGGTTGGCGCTGTAGGAGAAGGTGATGAGGAGGATGGTCACGAAGTGGTGGGCCACCTGCTCCTTGAAGTCCTGCGGGAGATGGCGGGTGACAGCCAGGACAGGGATCAGTGGCCAGAGGGGCCCCACCCTAAGGGGTGGGGAGCAGGCACTCCCCTGGGGGCTGGTGCCTCTGGACTCCCTTCTGCCCGAGGCACCATGGGCATCTGCGGGGGTGGGATGGGGTTGTGAGGCCGCCCCTCCCACTCCCAGCTCCTTGTCACTCCCCCAGCTGGGCCCTCACTCTGGTCTCACCTTGCGCTTGACCTCCCACTCCTAGCTCCTTGTCACTCCCCCAGCTGGGCCCTCGCTCTGGTCTCACCTTGCGCTTGACATCGAGAGGCAGTGTAATCAGTAGTGAGACGTAGAAACTCAGCTCCAGGAGGTACCACCAGTACAGGGCGGGCTTCAGGGGCTGGGTGGGGCAAGGTTACTGTGGGGAGGGGCCCAGCATACCCCTTCTCCCTCCCCTCCTTTGCCCAAACCCAGGGCACTCAGATCCTGGTGAGTGAGGAAGGAGTGAGCACCTCGTCCCAGGAGGTAATCAAGGGCAGCAGTTTTGTGGTAGCTCCCGCTCTGAGCTTCCAGGCTCCCTGCCCCTCTCTATTCCATAGGGGAGTCAAGCTGGCTGACAGCGAGACTCAGGGAGAGTTCTGGTGTGATGCCAGGCTTAGATCCCTGGCTCCTGGCTGCAGGAACTCTGCCTGCCTGGCCGGGGGTGCCCTCCCACCAGCCTCCGCACGCCCCCTGCCGCTCACCTGGTCTGGATAGTTGTCCCAGCATGTTGACGGCGTCCACAGCCATGACTCCTGTGGGGAAACAGAGTCTGAGGCTACCCAAAGCTCAGAGCCCAGCCCCCACCCCAGTCTGGCCTCCCACCCCTCCCCCCAGTGCTGCTCTCATTTAGCCCTGCTTTTTCTGCTTGGCTACGCATCTGCCCCCTGCTCTAGCCCGGGAGGTCCATTCGCTGCAGGGTCCCCAGCTCCCGGTGCACAGTAGGTCCTCAACAGGTGCCTGTGACTGGACAGTCACCAAGGCCTCGCTAAGCTCTCTCTCCCCTCTGTGCCTCTGCACTTGCTTTTCCCACTGCCTGCACCCCCCCCCAGCCCCAGCGGCTGCACACAGTAGGTGCTTGTAGGATAGGTGGAGGGGGCGGGTGAGCAGCCGAGCACACTCACGTGGTACAGGACCGAGAGGCCACCCACGAAGGAGCACAGATAGAACAAGAACCTCCAGCTGCAGATGGGGGGAGCCCATGAGGAAGTTGCCAGAAGGGCAGACCCCACCCAGCACCCCCAGGCCTCCCCACAAGACCCAGCCCTGGGCTTACCTGGCCTCACAGAACTTCTTGGTCAGGTGGGGCTGATCCTGGTTCCGGCGGCCCCGGAACCAGCGCTGGGTCTGCCGCAGGGTGAGGCCACACTGGGTGGCCAGGAGGGCCAGCTGGTGCTGGGAAGGGAGGGGTGGTACCAGGGTCACGGGGCCCCATGGTGGCTTCCCATCCCTGTCCCACAACAGGTAGAACCTTCCACCTATGGGGGTAGGGGTGAGGTGGGGTCTGGGGGAGGAGGGCCTTATCCTGCCTTCCTCTCCCCTGCCCAGGGCAGAACCCTGCTCTCCCAAGGCAGGCAGGATGCTGATGGGGACTGGATGAAGGGGCTGGGGGTGGGATCCCATCGAGGCAGCCCTGCGCCCTCCACAGAAAAGCCAGGGTCCTCCCACCCCCTTGGGGTAGCCCAACCTGTGACAGGGACAACATGGGGGGAACCACAAGACTCTCTTCCTGGGTCCCCACCCAGGGTACACAGACCACATCTTTCCCCCCTTCCCCCTCAGGAGCCAGCCCAGACCCAGCCCACACCATGGGTGGGAACGGAAGGAGGATCCACACACTCCTCCCTAGGACAGGAGGGACACCTGCCCAGCCCCCAGTCCCAGGGGCTTCCCATGGGGCAGCTGTGCCTGCTGACGGGGGTCCAGGTGGACTGGAGGGTTGGGGCAGTGGGGGTGTCAGAGGCTGCCCTGGTCTGCCCTGCTCCAGGGCTCCCAGGTGGCTCTCACCTCCTGGGGTCTCCGCCCTTGCGTGAGGAAGTGTTTCTCCAGCGTGGGATTGGGCACCACCGGCCTCCGGCTGCGGTCTCGCACACCCAGCCACCAGCTCAGGGGCAGGCCCACAAACCTGGGGTGGGGGGCCAGCCATTAGTCCAGGGAGCAGTGACAGTGCTGCGGGGGGCATGTGCTACAGGTGGGGAAACTGAGGCTCAGAGGGGCCACGTCACTGGCCAGTGGGGCACAGCAGCAGATGGCAGAGTGGAAAGTCTGGGATCTTTCTTCTTCATCAGAGTGGAGGGCTGGGAGGCCTGAGGGGCAGGATTTGGACAAACCTCCCGTGGCTACTCCCTGCCTCATGCCCTGGAATCCTAGGGGGAAGCTTTGTGGCTGCACCAGACCCAGACATAAGAAGGCAGGGGACTCCACACTGTCAGAGTAGAACTGTGCTCCAGAGGGTTTTCGGTGACTGATTTTTCAGGAGATTGCCAGGCCTTTTTTCTGAGGTGCCTCTGGGTGGACTCGAATCTCCAACCTTTCGGTTAACAGCCGAGTGCCTTCACTGTCTGCACCACTGGAGGGACTCCTGAGGGATGCCCAGAGGATGACACTCAGAGAGAGAGGAGCAAGCCCGGCTCTGTACCATCTGGACCACACGAGAAAGGGCTGAGTGCTCAAAAGGTGCCCGCTGAATAAGCACAAAGGAGTCCTGGCAGCACATTAAGCACTCGGCAGCTAACCCACCAGCAGCTCCACCGGAGAAAGGACCTGGCAATCTGCTTCCGTAAAGGTTACAGCCTAGAAAAACCTATGGGGCAGTTCTACTCTGTCATGTAGGGGTCGCTATGAGTTGGAATTGACTCGATGGCACCCTGCAACAACAACAACAAATAAACACAGCCTCACAGGCTTCAGAATGGGGGTGCTAACTCCTAACTCCTAGGGTACCCAGGCATCTTCGTTGATCCCAAACCAGGGATGTGGGCCCCCTCACTGCCCAACCCATGGTGGTGTGGCTCCCGGCCTGTCCTCCACTGGGCTGGCGGCTCCCCACAGGCAGGGCCAGGGTCTGACCCCTGTCAGGAACCCCCAGCAGGGCCCACTCTAGGGCAGGCACTCACAGGTGCAGGGACCCTGGTTGACCACATTGACCACCAGGGGGCGCCCGAGGCTACAGGTAGGGACCTAATTTAATATCCACCATCATCCCTTCAGAGCCCTGGTGGCACAGTGGTTAGGAGCTATGGCTGCTAACCAACGGGTCAGCAGTTTGAATCCACCAGCTGGCTACTCCTTGGAAACCTTTTGAGGCAGTTCTACCCTGTCCTGTAGGGTCATTATGAGTTGAAACCGGCTCGACGGCAACAGATCTGATCTGATCGTCCTTTTGGAGCCCTGGTAGTGCAGCAGTTAAGAGCTTGGCTGCTCACCAAAAGGTTGGCAATTCAAATTCACCAGCCGCTCCTTGGAAACCCTATGGGGCATATCTACTCTGTCCTATAGGGTCGCTATGAGAATGAATTGACTCAACAGTAACGGGTTTTGGGTTTTGGTATCATCCTTTCACCCCTCATGTGGGGAAACTGAGGCCCAGAGCAGCCCAGCAAGCGATTCATTCCAGACTCAGTCGTATTGGGGGTAGGTAGTTATGTTTACTGAGTGCGTACTCTCTGTCAAGTGTGGGGCCAAGTCCAGATTACGTGCTGGCTCAGATCATCTGTTCCTTCACCCTATTATCACTGTCCCCATTGTTCTGATGGGCAAACCGAGGCCCAGAGGGTCAGAGGCATCCCCAAAGTCACATAGAGAGTGAGGGGTAGACTCAGAATTCTAACTCAGGGCTCACTTTCCTTTAACAAGGGCTAAGGCCCCAGAAAATCTTTCCCTGCAACCTAAACTCTTCCATCAGTAAAATATGCAAACCCACCTCTGGGCTCCA